GGTGGTTGGAAAATGCAACTGTTACGTCCTATTCTCTTATTTCCTTTTTTTGTTTATGTATGCCTGTCTGTCTGTCTGTCTCTCTGTCTGTCTGTCTGTCTGTCTGTCAATCTGTCTGCCTGTCAGTCTGTCTGTCTGTGGGTGGTTGGCGGGTGCTCTGGTGGGGTTTGCTTCTTCTTTCCTGTGAAATATCTATCGTCCTTATCTCCCCTTTTTCTTTTTTATGTTTGTTACTCTCTTGTAACACCTCTAATCTTCTGGCGCTCATATGACCTTATGCCGTTGCGAGCGCCGTAAAACCTCTACTAAAACTTTTGAAAAACCCTCTACTTAAACAAACTGTCTGTCTGTCTGTCTGTCTGTCTGTCTGTCTTACTTTTTCCTAGCACTAAATGACAGCTGCAGGTGGTGGGAGGGTGCCACGAGTAGGTCCCACTTCTTTACTTTCCCTCTGTTTCTGTCTTTCTCAATGACTGTTCTTCCGTTGATGTGCTTCTCTTTACCAAAACAAAACGAACATAAATGACCCGTCTGATGTTTCTGTCTGTCCGTCTTACTTTTACTCAGTACAAAATGATAGGGGGGCTCTCGTGGCCTAGAGGTTAAGGTGTTCACCCCTCATTCAAAGGTCCCAGGGTGCCACCTCCATCCACATCCTACTTCTTTTCTTTCTCTCTTTTGTTTCTGCCCATCTTACTCTTCTGCGTGTGGTTGGAGGGCGTTACTCGGTAGTTCCTATTTCTTTCCTTTCCTCTTGTTACGTTTCTGTCTATCTGTCTTGCTTCTCAGTGGGCGGTTGGCGGGTACTCTGGTGTGGTTTGCTCCTTCTTTCCTATCAAACAACTATCGTCTTTATCTGTCCTCTTTCTTTTTTGTTTGTTACTCTCTTGTAACACCTCTATTCTTCGGCACTTATATGACCTTATTGTTTAACAGTGCCGCAAAACTCTTACTAAAACAAATGTCTTGCTTCTTCGGATGGTTGGAGGGTGCCACTGGTAGGTCCTACTTCTTTTCTTTCCTGCGAAGTAGGAAGCGGGAAGTGGTGGTTTGTACCAGGTGGTCGTTACACCAGGTTGGATTCTGTTCCAAGAATTTTTTATTTTTGGGTGGTTGGTGGGTGCTCTGGTGTGGTTTGCTCCTCCTTTCCTATCAAACATCTTTCGTCCTGATCTCTTCTCTTTCATTTTTATGTTTGCTACTCTCTTATAACACCTCTAATCTTCAGCACTTGTACGACCTTATTGTGATTGTGTTGCAAGTGCCGTAAAACTCTTACTAAAACTTTATTTTCCCTATTTCACCGATGCACTCAAACTGGTCACTATTTTCCCCCCACTGTTTTCATTTTAACACAGTTTCTTTCTTCTTCTTTTTTCTTTTCTTTTTTATTTTTTGTTATTTGTACCTTTTTGTCCATCCAAAGAATTGTGAATTTTCTGTTGCTATTTTCTGATTTCACCCATGTTCATCTGGTACCCCTTATTATTTATTCACCATGGGTGGTTGGCAGGTGCTTTAGTGTGGTTTGCTCCTTCTTTCTTCCTATCAAATGTCTGTTGTCCAGATCTCCCCTCCTTTAAAAAAAAAAAATTTTTTTCAGTTTGTTACTCTCTTGTAACACCTCTAATTTTCGGCACTTATATGACCTACTTGTGTTGCAAGTGCTGTAAAACTCTTACTTAAACAAAAACAAACCTTGTTCAACTGTAAAAACTGCCACCCATCATTCATCTATTAACCCTTTTTCATTTATTCACCCCTATTCTTATGTTACCCCTTAATCATATCGCGACCTCGGTGCTTTCTTGTCGTATTCCCATTTTTTAAAACGTTGAAAATGTGACTTCTTCTTAAGCTCACGCTTTGTTATGAACTGTTTTCAATGTTATTAAAAATGGAGATAGGACAAGAAAGCACTGAGGTCGCGATATATTGACCCCTTTCATTTAGTCACTCCTCCTCATATGTTACCCCTTAATCATATATTAACCCTTCTTTTTATTTATTCACCTCTATTCATCTATTATCCTTTATTCATCTGCTAGTCCCTTTTCATTTAGTCATCACCCTATTAATGTATTAACCCTAATTCATCCATTACCCCTTATTCATCTGTTAGCCCTTATTCATCGTTAACCCATATTCATCCATTCACGGGCTTTTCCCCAACAATCTAGGAGCCATTTTATAACAAATAAAGCAGCAGTGGCATATGTAACTCAGAGAATGGGGACCTGCTTAAAAATATTCTAAGGGGTGATAGAGCCATTCTTTAATGGGTTTTTTTGTGTGTGTGTCTTGGGTTTTTGTTTTGTTTGGTTTTGAGGTGGGGGTTTTTTGTGGCTTTTTTTCAATAAACCTTTCTCTACATTAAAACTATTCATAAGTGGAAATGGAGCTTTTGAATGCTCAAAATGCGGCTAACTTTTCTCTGCCAGAATTGGTCTCATCGGCCGCAGAAGAAACCACAAATCGTCTGAACGTTTTTTTTCTCCCAATTCTTCTATTTAGCTGGAGAAATTATATTCTCTTCTGGGGATGTGTTGGTCATTGTTGAGGAAAAAAGTGGTTGCCTCAGACAGGTGGATGTCTTTGACGGTATCGTTGTCATAATAATGAAATGTGTTTTTTAAAAAAAAAAAATTTAGAAAAAAACAACCCCCCACAAAAAAAACAAAAAAAAACAAAGACATGTTGAAAAAACAACAACCCAAAAAACCCAACACCCCCCCCCCCCAAATAAAAACAAAACAAAGGCGAAAGAGGGGACATGGGAAGTGGTTGCTTATTGTGGAGAATGTCTTAGACAGGTGGTCGTTGGAGCGAGTTCGACGACTTTACCTGTCTTAAAAGTGTATTTGTGATCTGGGTTTTTTAAATTTTGTTTTTTATTCTCCATCTGTCCGATTATTTTCCTGTCCATCGGTTGTATCTACCTTCTGCCCCGTCACTTATGCAGTTGCGAGCGCCGTAAAACCTTTACTAAAACTAAAACTGTCCCGTCCTTCCCCCCCTCCCCCGGTGGGTGGATTGTGCCCCTGACTAGTCTTACTCTTGATCCTCTGCTCTTTTTGTGGGTCTATCTTGCTTTTTTAAATTTTTCCTTCTCTGTACCTTATTAGCTGTTATTGAGTAGATGTGCTCTTTTTTAAAAACAAATTCTCTCTTTGTGGATCGTTCAACTTCTTCCTGTGTGTTAAGTGGTGGTTGGCGGGCGCTTTGTTGTGGTTTTCTCCTTCTTTCCTATCAAACGTCTGTCGTCTCTATCCTTCCTTTTTTCCTATCAAACATCTGCTGTCGTCCTTATCTCTCCTTCTTCTTTTTTGTGTATATGTTACTCTCTGGTAACACCTCTAATCTTCGACATTTTTAGCTCACATACGTTTCCTTCATCCCCCACCCTCCTCCCCATTTTCAAGACCTGCTGTTCTTTTACATCAATGTGTGTTCTGTGATTCTTTCTGTGATTCTAGAGGGTGGTTGGCGAGTGCTCTGTTGTCGTTTGCATCTTTTTTCCTTCCAAACATCTTTCATCCTTTTCACATATCCTTCTTTTCTCTGTATAATAATGTATGGTACTCTCTGGTAACACCTCTTATCTTAAGCACTTAAATGACCTATCTATTTTGCAAGTCCCATAAAATTCTTGCCAAATAAATCTGAAGCTAAAATGTTCTAATCTAAAACTCTGCAACTCTTCAATCCTTGACTCACTAAATTAAGAGGGGTTTTGCTTTTTATGTGTGTGTGGGTGTGTGTGTTTTTGAAAGTTTTTGTTTCTGTGGCTCTATAAATAAATCCTGGAGTGACGGAGTGACACATTGACAAAGTGACCCACTTACTGACGGCGGCCACTCTGTCACTAATGACGTCAGTTGGTTATTTATAACAATAGTTGCGGCACCTATAAGACCTATTTGTGTAACGACACGCTGGAATCAGGCGCTCCTCAAATTTTGTGCACATCGAGACACATTTAGGATTGATATCATCTTAAAGCTAGATTGGGGGTTTTTTTGGTGCTTTTGGGGGGAAAAAATATCTATCTGTCTTGGGAAAGAAAAAAAATCGAGATATTTGTGATTGAAGCAGATATGGGTTGCCTGGTCGCACAGATAAAATTAGCAAGAAAATGGCCGCTAAAGTTTGGGGGCTTCCAAAGCTATAGTGTCCTTGGAAAATGCAAATTTACGTTTTCTGTGCCCTTGGTCAACTTTTTTCAGTAAAATCCACACAGAAATGTGTTTTTAAATGGACAGAAAAGGTATTAAATACATAAAGCAAAAAAAGTAAAAAATTTTTAAAGGAAAAAACCCCCCACAAAACCCCCCAGATTAATGAAAAGTGCTCAATGGGTTGAAAAATGCCGGTTTCTTCATTTTCATTATTTTGAAGTGTGCCTAATTTCACTACAATGGTACATAATATTTGTGTTGCATGCAAGTGCTGTAAATTTTTCATTTGAAAAGAAGAAGAAAAAACAAACAATTATTGTCTCGTTGTCACTCTGTCACTCCTGTAAACCCTTGACTCACAAACACCTTCTTCACCCTCCCCCACCATCCCTCTCTGCCCCCCCTCTCTGCCCTGCC